TTCTATATGCAGTTTGGAAAACTCTCATCCAGGTGGCCAACATAGCCATCATGTCTTTCTCATAATTGAAATGCTCACCATCCTTAATCATCAGAGAAATGCAAATCAAAACCACTCTGAGATATCATCGAACACCAGTTAGATTAGCCCATATCACAAAATCCCAAAATCACAGATGCTGGCGGGGTTATGGAGAAAAGGGAACACTACTACACTGCTGGTGGTTTCTTTTCTAATGTTGGAAAAGGTGTTGTGTTCCAGTTGTGCCTGCCGTTTAATCATGACAGTTGTGAAGACTTTCTCTGTTGGGTCATCCATTCCAACTCTTGTTGCAAGCTTGTGGTTTTTGGTCTCTGTTCAGTCAGTCATGCAGTTTGAATCCTTGCCCTGCCAATTATTCTGTAGGCAGGTTATTTAATTTCTCTGAGCCTTTGTATTTTCATACGAAAAGTGGAGATAAAGCTAATACCTTTCAGAGTAGTCGTTAAATTACTTGGGTTAACATATTTAAAATGCCCAGCATAGTACCTAGAATACATAAACATAATAAATAGTAGTAGTCTTTTTTACGGATAACACATGGAGCTTGCTGGTCTCTTCTAGCTTTTTATTTTTTATATTTTTTTAAATTTCAGAATAGTAGGAGGCACACATTTTGCTTTCATACTTTGTTTTCATACAGATTGAATCATAGTTGTAAGTGTGCCCCTCTCTCCCGACTATTTAAAAAGGATTCAGATGGAATTGATTTTCATGTCATTATTGAGTAATGTGTTGTTCATCTGATTCCTATAGGTCTACCACCACCGGGAAATAAGGTCATTTTCAATGTGGAGTTTAATTTAAATGCCCAAAGTCAGCAATTTTGTGTACTGTGTGTAAATAACCATTTTATATCATTTGCATTTGGTGGAATTACAGTTGCTTCTCAACATCTTGAAAGTTGATTGAATACATTTTTATTTCATCTTTTTTCATATCTTTTAATTTGCTGACTTCTTTACATTATTGGTTTTGTTATAATGTTTATTTTACCTAAATGTTCTCTAATTATACTATGGGTATTTATTAAATGAATCACAACTCAAAGTCAAAAATTTCAGGTTGGTTGTTTTGTTTGGACTACCTTTTTATTGTTCATAATCATTAATTTTGAATTAACTATCAGGGTGTACTTTTGTTACCTTGGAAATATTAGTGGACATATGTATACTTCTAATCATACAGCTATTCTTTAAAGACTTGGATTTAGAAGACTCAAAGGTTGTTATATAACTTCTTGTTTTTTTGTGACACCTGACCTGTTTATATGGCTGTATGTCTGCTGTCATTATTATTTCATAGAGAATAGTAGTGTCATATACTATTGCAGAGAAGATAGGAATGTTTATTTTTGCAGCTTTTTTTTTTTTTTTTTGAGACATAGTCTCAGTTTGTCACCCAGTGTAGAGTGCGGTGGTGTCTTATCTCACAGCAACCTCCAACTCCTGGGCTCAAGCAATTCTTTTGCCTCAGCCTCCCTAGTAGCTGGGACTACAGGCACCTGCCACAACACCTGGTTATTTTTCTTCTTGTTGTTGTTTTTTATTTAACAGATCCAGGCTGAGTTCAAACCCACCACCCCTTGTGTATATAGCCAGAGGCCTAACCACTGAGCTATGGATGCTGAGCCTCTTTCAGTTCTTTTTTCTTTTTTTTTGAGGCAGAGTCTTATCTGTTGCCCTTGGTAGAGTATTGCAGCATCATAGCTAATCTAGCAACTTTAAACTTTTGGGCTTGAGCAATCCTCTTTCCTCAGCCTCCCCAGTTGCTAGGACTGTAGGCTCCTACCACAACCCCTGGCTAGTTTTTCTATTTTGAAGTAGAGATGGCGTCTCAATCTTCCTCAGGCTGGCCTCAAACTCATGAGCTCAGGCAGTCCACCTGCCTTGGCCTCCCAAATTGTTAGGATTATAGGCATGAGTTACCACACCCAGCCCACTTTTGCTGCTCATATGGGGCTTTCCTACTTGTCATTTATTCCTTAAAGATCAAATATTTTTTACCAGTCCTTTGAATTGCATTAATAAGCTAAATATTGTATGCTAATAAGGAGATATTTTCTTAATTTCTTGGTTTATATTTAGGCGTTATTTACCTTTGTATTTTAAAAAGTGCAATAATTGTAAGAAAACAGTGTGATTTTTATGGCTGTGATCCTAGCACTTTGGAAGACTGAGGTAAATGGATAGCTTGATCTCATGAGTTTGAGACCAGCTTGAGCAAAAGTGAGACCCTGTCTCTACTAAAAATAGAAAAACTGAGGCAAGAGGATCTCTTGAGCCTAATAGTTGGAAGTTGCTATGAGTTATGATGCCACAGCACTCTACCCAGGGCGACAGCTTGAGACTCTGACTCAAAAAAAAAAAAAAAAAAATTATGATTTTTAAAATATGATGCAATCTGGAGTATTGGCTTCTTTGTGTGTGTGTATATATATGTATGTATATATATGAATGTCATTATAAAGCACATTTTTTCCTAATTTTATAAATTTCAGGGAGAAACACACCTTATCTTTCCTAAGAAAGCATCAGTGGAGCAGCTGCAAAAAATTCGTGACTTGATTGCTATAGAGAGAAGTAGCAGATTGGATGGTTCAACTAAGAGCCACAAAGTAGAGTCATCTCAGCCACCTGCAACTGGTACCCAGGTTTCTACAACAGAGTCTCCAAATCCTAATGGGTTAGCCCAGCATGCAGAAATCCATCAAGGACAGTCATCAAATTTGCCATCTGCTCCAATGGTAATGTTGGAATTAAACCTTCTTTAGTGTTCCTTTCAAAATGTTGAATAGCAAAAGCTTTAAAGTGTGTCCTAGTTTAGTCCTGAATTGGTGCTCCCTATATTCTTGGTTCTTCCAACTCCTAACACATCCAGGTTTCTTCAGCTCCTTAAAAAATTGGCAAATTTGTGGTAAAAGTAGGAAAACTGGCTGCCTTTTATTTATATTTTAGATCTTGGCTTGTGGCTTCTTGCTTCTGAGGCAACTTAAAGTTTGTTTAGTTTATCATATATGAGTGAACCTTAGTACTTAAATCAGTTATACAAATTAACATATGTCTTTAACTTAAACCAAAATAATGGACCTGCTGAACAGAGGTGTGACCATGAAATTAGATTTCCTTTACTGCATTGACATTCCTAATCTAGATTTTACTTTGTGCCATTCACTATGCGGTTATATTCAACAGCTCAATCATGTTATCAACACCTTAATTCAATGAAATGTCAACTTCTTTAGGTTTAAGTTAAATAAGTTAATTTACTGATAGTGGATGCTAGCAAATTGGTGAAGTTTGTTAGTATGCACAATATATACTTCCGAAAAACTAAGATCAAATTTGTGATGTCTTACAGGCATTTTTGGTAAATTTAAATAAGTTCCATTCCATTTAATAGGAGACTATCCTATTTATAAAAATCCCTTTTGAGGAGGGTAATTGGTGAGATCACACCTCTGGTGCATTTTACAAGGATACATGTTAAATTTACTAAGTGTAGAGTATAAATGTCTGAACACAATAACTAAGAAAATGCAATGAAGGCTATGTTAACCAATTTGATGAAAATATTCCAAATAGTATATAAAAACAGCACATTGTATCCCATGATTGCATTAATGTACACAGCCATGATTTAATTAAAAAAAAAAATCCCTTTGATACAGGTCCTTAAGTATTATTCTCCTAAATTTTTGCTGTTGGAAAAACTGTGATATTTCTATAGTAATTTTGTCAGTAGTCAACTTAAACTCATACCCTCCTATTTTAATTTTGATAGAACAGTTTGTCACTGTCCTCCACACAGCAGAAGTTTATGTAGTATCAGTTGTTAAATCTACCCTTAATCTTCTCTAGATGAATAATTATAGAGCTTTTACTCTCTTCCTTGGATTGTCAAATGATTAGCAGACATTTCTTTGTCTAGGTTGGGAAGACCTCAAACTTCTTAAAAATAAACTTCTTTTAAAAATAAAAGTGTTAAGGGGCTGGCCTTTTATGTAATTCTTCTTAAGTGGTTTCTAAACTTGTTTTGTGGGGGATTAAGCCCTCTAACATAATCCTTTATGCCTCAGTTGGCTTAACCTTTAAGTCTTTAAAATATTTTCTCTGATTATAAGCATCACTGATAGTGTTTGTTTATAATAATAATAAACACAGCTAGTGTTCATGAATGTTTCTGAGAAATTGTTCCCGGATGGTATTGCATCAATTAATGATGATACTAAATGACTATGGCATCAGATGAGATAGTGTATGTTAAAGTTCTGCAGACTATAAATAAAGAGTTGGCTCTTAGTAATTCTGCTTCATTATGCAGTTGTTACAGAAAAGTGGGACTGCTTAACTCTAATGTTAAGTAACTAGTTATTCCATGTCTTAGAACAGTGGTTTCCACGCTTTTTGACTGAACATCTTACCAGTAATAAAATATGGAATATATAACCCAGTGTCTATTTATTTATTAATTATATGCTTCTATACTAATTTATTATGTGCCTTATATAAAAATCGTGAAAAATTAGAGGGTGATATAAAAACTAAATCTCCAGAGCACCCCAGGATTCTCCTGCTCCTCCCTAGGAATGTGTGCATACCATCTTGGAATACCTTTGGTCTTTATCTGTTTTGCAGTTAAGGTTGGTAGTGATATAGAAGCTCACTTAACATCTTTCTTGACTTTTAACATGTTTTATTAGGGTTTTTCAAAGTGCCATGTAAGAATATATCTTTTAAAATTTCCTACTTTATCTTCTTTATTACAGCATATAGCTTAAAGTGCTCACTGCTAACCAATCTTACAAAAATGCTTGAAAACATTTTATTTTATAAAATACCTCTTCCAGGACCAAGTAGTATTTTGTTACTGTTTTCTCTCAGGAAATCCACTCACTTTTTTTTTTTTTGAGACAGAGTCTCACATTGTCACCCCTGGTAGTGTGCAGTGGCATTGTAGCTCATAGCAACCTCAAACTCTTAGGCTCAGGCAGTCCTCTTGCCTCAACCTCCCAAGTAGCTGGCCCTATAGGCACTTGCCACAATGCCTGGCTATTTTTTTTCTCTTCAGAGACAGGGTCCTCACTCTTACTCAGGCTGTTCTCAGAAATCAAGCAATCTATCTGCCTCAGCCTCACAGAGTGCTAGGATTGATTACAGGCATGAACACCATGTCTGGCCTTCACTCACATTTTCTGAATCTTCTTTAAGCTCCTTCCTTTTCTTGTTTCTTAACTTTGCAATTCAGATAGTTTGGGGCCTTTAAAGCCCTGTCAGTTGCCACAAAACCACTGGCTGCTACACAAAAAATAAATCATCATTCTATTCATTCTATTGCCAAAATAAATTCTGGAGATTAGAACAAAACTAACTTTCTCAAAGATATATGTTATTAATAAAGTAGTGTGTATCAACTCTTACTAGTCTTTAGACAAAAATATCGTTTTCTGAGTTCCATAAAGGAGTTGAAAGAAATTAGAATTAATCTTACATTATATAAACAACTCTTTATTATCCATGGATCACTGGAATTACATATTTTTAATTTTATTTAAATTTTTACTTTTTTTTTTTTGAAACAGAATCTCACTTTGTTGCGCTCAGTAGAGAGTTGTGGCATCATAGCTCACAGCAACCTCAAACTCTTTTTCTTTTTTTTTTTTTTTTTGAGACAGAGCCTCAAGCTATCCTCCTGGGTAGAGTGCAGTGGCTTCACAGCTCACAGCAACCTCCAACTCCTGGGCTCAAGTGAGTCTCCTGCCTCAGCCTTCCAAGTAGCTGGGACCACAGGCGCCTGCCACAACACCTGGCTATTTTTTGGTTGCGGCTGTCATTGTTATTTGGTGGGTCCAGGCTGGATTCGAACCTGCCACCTTAGGTGTATGTGGCTGGCACCTTTGCCACTTGAGCCACAGGCGCCAAGCCCTCACTCTTTTTTAAAAAGTATTTTGTTATTTAAACTTTCATTGCCTTTAGTTGCTATACATTCTATAGAACTTGACAATTATTTTCTCTTGCCTTGCCCATTTGAGTGGGATACTAGCTGAAAATTAAAATGGACTAACGTCAGCAAGAGAAAGATTATAAAAAGCACTTTAACCTGTATGTAAACTACCTGTGTGTATACATCATATAACATAACTATGTAAACTAGGTAAATCCTGGCAAACTTTATAACTGTTTTCTTTTTTGGTTAAAACTAGATCAGATAGGGTGGCGCCTATGGCTCAAAGGACTAGGGCGCCGGCTCCATATACTGGAGGTGGTGGGGTCAAACTTGGCCCCGGCCAAAAACTGCAAAAAAAACAAAAAACTGTATCAAATAAGATTTTGAAATGTAAGTCAAGATGATAGTCATTGATGATGAAGTTTGCCAGTAAACTTTTCTTGTAAGATACAAAGTAGTAGAATATATTGGTACTTACTATGTGAAAGATATTTTGTTGTCTTTTCTAGACAATTTATGAAATGGAATTTAAAAATATGTAGTGTTTTGCTTCTGACTTCTTTTACTTTGTGTAACACTTTTGAAGTTCTTCATTTTGTAGGATTTATCAGTATTTTTTCTTCCTTTTAATTTCTGAATATTTTTCCATTTAAGGATATAGCACATTCTATTTATCCATTCATTAGTTGATACCCATTTGGGTTGTTTCCCTTGTTTGCCTGTTGTGAATAGTGCTGTTATGAACACTCATGTACTAGTCTCCAGACATGTGTGCATTTCTCTTGGGTAGATTCTTAGGAGTAGAACCACTAGGTTGTGTGGTAAGTTGATATTTCATATTTTAAGAAATTGCCAAGCTGTATTTCAAAGTTGCTATACTATTTTACATTCTCACGAGTGGTATATGAGGATTGCAGTTTCTGAATATTCTCACCAACTCTTACTGGCTTTTTATTATAGCCATTTTAGTGGCTGTTAAGTAGTATCTCATGTAGTTTTACTTTGCATTTGTCTAATGACTCAACTGATTTTTATCTTTGCTAGTTGTATGTGCTCATTGTTTGATGTTCCTAATGGAAATAACTTCCTGATAACCCTTTATGAATTTTTAACCCTTTGCCTTCTATAAGCAGATTTGAAACAGCAAAGACAGTTTTCAGTGACATAGTACCACAGAATGTTAGAAGCATTGTGTTCCTAGTTTTGCAACTTTATCTAGGTTGAAAATGTATGATTTACTTAAAATATACATTCAGAACTTTTACTCAGCTAGTATAAATGTATGCTTTTATTTGTCTCGTGACTACTTTTAAGATGTATATGAAATTGTTAAGCTCTCATCACTCTTTCATCACCCTGGAAATTACTGCCTATTGTATATATGGGTATGTAGTTATTTAAAACAATTATCATAATTTGTGATTATTTCATTGAAATTATAAAAATAATATATTGTTAGTAATTATAAATAAAATGAGATGGTTAAATTTAAAATTAATTTTATCTCATAAACCTCCTAGTCTATGTGTGATGTTTATAAGAGGAGAAATCTTCTATTTGGACATCAGATTTAAATATCTGGTTTCTTGTTTGTGAACCTACCACTCTTGAAGGCAAATTATACCTACATGCCTCAGTAGGGGATTACTGAAATTATTAGACATCCATATGTCAAGAGTTAGTATTTATTGGCTCGGCGCCTATAGCTCAACCAGCTAAGGTGCCAGCCACGTACACCTAAGGTGGCGGGTTCGAATCCAGCCCGGACCCGCCAAACAACAATGATGGCTGCAACCAAAA